TTGCGCAGGCTCTGTATCTTAGGAGTAGAGTGGTAATCTGTGCTTGTTCGTAGTTCAACAACCGGTGACCAACTTCGATACTGCTGTACTTGCCCACGTGTGATACCCATGGATAATTATACACTGAGCGTGCGGCTATGGCTCACCTTACTTGTGGCGGATGGGATAATCACCACTTGAATGATTATCTCGGTATCGTAATGAAGCCATAGGATAATTAAGTACTGAAAAATTATTCCATGGATCGATCCGGATGGAACAATAGCCGATATGGTAGTTATCCTAAGCTGTAAGACAATCAAGTACTAGGATGGTTATTCCATAGATCAATCAGAATGGAACAATCGCCGATGAAGTAGGTAGTTATCCCACTGTAAATTTTGGCGGACACCTTCATCGGAGACGGTTTATAAGTAGTTCTGGGCGGTAAGTGTAACCAGCTCTGCCAGAGGCCCAGAGTTTGGGAGATCCTGGTCTTTAAAGGTGTCCCTTATTGACCACTGGGTTTGCATTCACTTGGATCCTCAAGCAAGTGAGAGCTTTCCACATGTGATAGAAGATGCATGACATAAGGTAGCTGCCCGCCTGCACGTGTCGGAGAGGAATGGCTGGCCGCCACAGCGGACATGTTAGGGCGACGCCAAGAACACATTCAGCCCGCCTAGCCCGCAACGGATTGGACCCTGCATATCTGCAAAGATGCACGAAGAGGGGCAGAGGGGCCAGAGGGGCAGCAGAAGATTTTGAACATTTGCACCGTTGGTCAGACCAAAAAAACAGACCCAACAATCACCACGGAAACCGGGATTGAATTTTTTCATTGCTTTCCTGTCTTGCCTGTTTTGAGCATGGCAGGCGGATACTGGCAGTGAGTAATACCCGGAATACTGGGACTGCGCTATGCCTTGAGCCTTGGCCTTTGCTATCACCACCCATCTCCAACCGCCAATCAACCCCCAAGTCATTTCTACCTTGAACGGTCGCAGACGTGCAAATTTTCAGCGGCAAATGGCAAATGCGTTGGTTGTTGTTCCGCGCGCTGCCAAATCAGTCGTGACCGGCTTGTGGGACTGGTGGGGTGGCTTTACCAATGAGAAGAATCAGCCCTGTTCAGATTGCTCACGTAGCTCAATATAAAATATTTTCCGCTTCCCGTGCCCGCGTCTGTATTCCTTTGTGCCACGACCATCCATCTATCTTCCTTTTTCTTGTTTACTCCTCAAGATACCCCTTCGCACTACCAATCTCAAGCATCGTTCTCTGTATTTTCACTTTCTACCTAAATATCCATCAAAATGTCTGTCGCCGAGGAAGTCATCATCGACCCCCAGACCATCAAGGAGCTGCACCTCCTTGAGGCTGCCACCTCCGACGTCGACAATGAACTGTCGGCCAAGCACTACCTCATGATGAAGCCCATCATGGCCGAGCGGGAGAAGACCATCGCCAAGATCCCCAGCTTCTGGTCCGTCGTACTCGACAACGCCGCCAGCGAGCTCGAGGCCGCCATCACCGCCGACGACCAGGAGGTCTTCGCCCACGCCCTGACCTCGATCGAGGTCGCGCGCCCGGAGATCCCCGCCTCGGCCCAGCCCAGCGACATGGGGCTGGACAAGTTCGGCGAGCCGCGGTCGATCGCGCTCAAGTTCAGCTTCAAGGAGAACGCGTGGTTCAGCGAGACGGAGCTGACCAAGATTTTCTGGTTCCGCTACGGCAAGGACGGCTCCTCCGGCCTGGTCTCGGAGCCCATCAAGATCAGCTGGAAGCCCGGCAAGGACCTGACCGAGGGCCTGACCGACGCCGCCTACGCCTTCTGGGCCGCCCAGAAGGCCAACGCCTCGCAGAAGCTGGAGGACGGCGTGCTCAGCAACGCCGAGCGCCACGCCCGCGACGCCGCCGCCCAGCAGATGCCCGAGTACCAGGCGCTGGAGACGCTGCTGAAGTCCAAGATGGACGAGGAGAAGGTCAACGGCGCGATGAGCTTCTTCAACTTCTTCGCCTACCGCGGCCGCTGGATCAGCGCCGCCGAGCACGCCGCCGCCAAGGCCGAGCTCGATGCCAAGCGCGCCGCCGCCCAGGCCGGCCAGGAGGAGAAGATGGACGACGAGGACGACGAGGACGACGAGGACTTCACCGAGGAGAACGTCGAGGTCTTCCCCGCCGGCCACGAGGTCGCCATCAACTTTGCCGAGGAGGTCGTCCCCAACTGCATCGACTTCTTCCTGGCCGACTCCATCGACAGCGATCTCGACCTGGACGAGGATGACGACGAGGATGAGGAGATGGAGGGTTAGATGTTGTCTGTATGGGGACATACAGCGAGCGCCGTAGGAAGACGTACGGCTTATGAATGAATGCGATGACATGGAACATAAAAGGGAAATGACGGGTACGGCAGGGCCAAAATGGTGCCCTTGACAGAAGAATCAGGATGGTTCTATACTAGAGGAATGATTTGATACCGTGGATAGAGAGATACCAATTCCGTATAGGATACCAACAAGTCGCTTGACTATTCTTCCAATGCCTTGATCTTGCACCGGCTTCCAATAGAGGCATCACTGTTGGTCAATCGTGTCCGATTCTCTGCTCACTCCTTTGGCCAAGCTCAACTTACCTCCCATGAGTTTGCACTCTGGCGATAACGACACCTCGAATATTTCTGGTGGGATAATCCCGTTATTTATGATTATCTCACCTGTGTTTATACCATAGGTTAATCGCTGCGATCTTGATTATCCTCTGGATTAATCGCAAAGGGAATAATCGTTATGCAGAATTATCCCATCAATGGCTTAGGTGATGACTAACTTACCGTATGAGCCTGGGCGCGGAGTCCAGCAGGCTTAGGATAAAGTATCAGCATTTCACGCAAGGCCGTGAGTCTAACCGAAGTTCGCTGGTTGTCCAAGAGATTTTATAAGTATGTAAGGTACCTAGTCTAACTCTGCAAATCGTACAACCTGTGATTTCCACCTAAACCTAGGACGGTTTGTAGCTTGTTTCGTGACCGGGGTCGTTTCCGTTGCTGTTGGGGCCGGGAGAGTTGTCGTTGCCGTTGCCGTTGCCGCTGACCGGGGCTCGTAGCCGGGAGTGGGGTGACCGGGAGCGTTGTCGTTGCCGTGACCGGAGCGTTGTCGTTGCCGTGATCAGGGCTCGTAGCCGGGAGTGGGGTGACCGGGAGCATTGTTGTTGCCGCGACCGGGAGCATTGTCGTTGCCGCGACCGGGAGCGTTGGCATTGCCGTGACCGGGGGCGTTGGCGCCCTTTCATTAGTTAGCATAGCATTCTTCAGATTCCATACCTTAAGTACAGTATTGATTAAGATGGTAGCTTACCTGGGCGGCGGCGGCGACGAGCCGGGCTTGCGCCCGCTCCAGCTCTCGTTCGAGCTGTTTCTTGCTCTTCTTCTTCTTCTTCTTGGGCTGTTGTTACATATCCCGTTAGTAAGCACTACCTTGGATTAGATATGGTAAGGTACATACCACTCCCCCTTTCGGGGGGCCACCTCCACCTTTGTTGGGCGGGGGGCCGCCGGACCCCCCAGCCCCTCCATCGACGCCGACTCCGCCGGCGCGGACCACGACAGACTGGATGTATGTATGTGCCGAATATGCTATGGTGTGTGTATACAAATGGTTCCGAATATATTGTAGAAATGTATGGTAGAAATGTAGAGTTGTTGGTAGGTGGATGGATTTGAAGACAGCGACGGGAATGGATGTTGTGTTGACGATGGAGAGCCTTCAAGCGAAATGCCCAGTTGAATGGAAAACACTTCCAGAGCCAGCTGACTACTGGCAACAACGCAGAATTCAGTGGCAGGTGCATGTGACACCAGTCTAGTCTAGCACCTGCATACCTGCCTACCTACCTACATGCCGACAAGTACCTTAAGGGAAAATGGGGGGCTTGGGTCAGACTGACGGTCATTGAAACGAAGGTCTGTAACCTAACTCATTTATTGCAATAAGGTCATCTAAATAGGCCGGAAATGCTTATAAGCGGTAAGTCTGACCTGCGCGCGTCACTCTATCAAGTATATTGCCCTTATAACTAGGTAAGCCTGACCGGGCCGTAAGCGTGACCAGCGCTGGTCACCCTTACTAAGGGTTCAAGTTAACAAAAAAAAAAAAAAATCAATTAACTACTTAATTAATGGCTTGGTTAATGGCTTGGTTAATGGCTTAGTTAATGGCTTGGTTAATTAGTGCGCGTCACAAAAAAACAAAGGAAAGAAAGAAAAAAAGTTACGAAAGAAGTAAGTTACGGAAGTAAGCATTAACCACCTGCGCTAACGCGGCGAGGTTTATAGATTTACGAGATTATACAATTACGGGGGCGCGCACGGGCGGAAAGTTTCTTATTTTAATAGATATGCGCGTGTACGGCTAGCCGCCGAAAAATTGCCATACTAAAGAATACGTAGCTGTAAGGGTGACGGCTGTTAATAAAGGTAACGGCTGTGGTAAAGGTAACAGCTATTAGTAAAGGTTACGGTTTATAAGGGTGTTGGTTATAGTTACCGGTGGTAAAGGTAACAGACCTATAGCCCTTATTTTAAAAGTCACCCATACGTCTGGTCATTATGCTAGTAAGCTAGTTTTGACCTTCGAAAGGGTGACCTGCGCTAGTCATAGTTCCGAAATTCGTCACGCTGTTGGTCAGTCTAACCCCAACCCCCCGTTTTCCCTTAAGGTATCATGCTAAACGCGCCTGCTTGGTTCTCACGCTGGAAGGAACATTCTTAATTCTAGTGGACCCCCTGCGTGTCGGGTGTAATTCTGGGCTGCCCGGCTGTGGGTTGTCCCTCGGCGGTCGAGTGTTTTCATTTGAAGCCCCGGTAGGGGCTTCAAATGCTGCGGCGCTGCGGCAGTATTGTCTAGACTGTAGAAAAAAAAAGAAACGGAAGGAAAAAAGAATAGGCGACACGGCGACACGTATACAGCGAAAAGATAAGAGTGATCGTATGAAAATGGTTGAGGAAAAGTTAAAAAAATCGATGCCTGCAGGATTCGAACCTGCGCTCCCGAAGGAAATGCCTAGCTTTGATGTGAGTCAATAGCAGGGCATCGCGTTAACCACTCCGCCAAAGCACCGGAATTGCTTGCTGCAGCCACCTTCCCCGGAGGGGTTGGTGGATTGTTGGAAGGAGCGCCCTTTGAAACCCCCCTTGAACTTTAATCTGGTTCGCACCTACCCATCCCCCATTCCCCTCTCCATCTCCATTGCACCACTAGCGCCCGCGGCGACAGGTGCTTCGCACCTCGCCTCACCTTTTACCTGCCCATGCGAAGCACCCATGTAAAGCATATTCTGGCTGCAAGCAAGCAATTCCGGTGCTTTGGCGGAGTGGTTAACGCGATGCCCTGCTATTGACTCACATCAAAGCTAGGCATTTCCTTCCCTCAAAAAATTTCGCTCGCGCGCGCTGCGCGCGCGCTCCCTCCTCATCTCTCACATCCCGCCCTGGTCCTGCCCTGCACTGTCGTGGCATGCATCTTCCAGAGCAATGCTAGTGGTACATACAGGCAGGTAGGCAGGTACTGTAGACAACCGGTAAGTCTGGTCATGGCCCAAGTAAGTAGCGTTGCTCTACTCTTGAATGTGTCTCGATAATGCAACCATCGCGACATCCTCATCTCTGTCGCTGCAGGCGTGCAGGCATTGATTGACCTTGGGTGTCGTCATAAGGAGGGCACATCCTACCTTGGCCTTTGGAGACCGCTCAGTGGGGCTGATGGAGAGGCCCAGCTGCATGCACACAAGCGCAGTACCTATCGAGCACTCTCGGCTTACAACTCCGAACATTCACCATTGGATGCGATACTGACTTGATACACTGGTTGCTCAGATAGATGCGGCTCTTCTAGAGCAAATCAGAATACCAGTAGGTACTTCGTATACACATCAGCTTCCATGCAGCCACGACGATCGCCTGGCTGCCTCTAATAAGTGCCACGCCGAGCCGCTAGAGTCGTGATACATGAGCCGCCTTCGCCGGTCTGAAAACATTGTCGTACAGCGTCGTTTCCAACTTCGCAACTTCAATCTATCGTTCCTCGTCTCTATCCATTCGTCATACCTACCTACAATCTCGCAAAACGCCACGCGATCGCCAAGCAGCCCTCTAAGCCAACTTGGAAGCCGTAGGCGTCCGGTCGCCGACCTCCTTCGCGGCGCGGTCCCGGAGCTGCTTGCGCAGGATCTTGCCGGACTGCTCTCGGCGTTAGCTTTGCCTACCATCTTTCTGCGGGAAATGCAGTGCTCACCGGGTTCTTGGGAATCACATCGATGAACTTGACGCCGCCGCGGAGGTACTTGTACCGGACGACCTTGCCCATCATCCACTCGGCGATATCCCGTTCCTCGCAGGGTTTCTCGGGGTTGGGGACGACGTAGGCGCGCGGGACCTCCTCGCCGCGGATGGTCACGCCCACGACGCCGACGTCGTTGACGCAGGGGTTGTCCAGCAGCAGGGCCTCGAGCTCGGCGGGCGCGACCTGGTTGCCCTTGACCTTGATGAGCTCCTTGAGGCGGTCGACGATGCGCAGCTTGCCGCCGGGGGCGTAGCGGTCGATCTCGGCGATGTCGCCGGTCTTGAGCCAGCGGCTGCCGTCGCCCGCGTCCACGTGGACGGTGGCCGCCGTGGCCGCCGGGTTGCGCCAGTAGCCGCGCATCAGCATGGGCGACGAGACCCAGAGCTCGCCGCGCTCGTGCGGCGCCGTGATCTCCCCGCCCCCGTCCACCCGCACGATGCGGATCTTGCTGTTCGGGTTCGCCTCCCCCACCGCCGGCGACCGCTCGATCTCGCTCCGCACCCACCCCGTCGCGCTGCACGTCAGCTCCGACATCCCCCACCCCTGCACCGGCGTGACCTTGCCCTCCGGCCACTGCTTCGCCACCTCGTCCATCACCTCCAGCCCCAGCGGCGCCGCGCCGCAGGATATCTCCTCGATGCTGCTCAGGTCGTACCGCTTCGTCGCCGGGTTCTTGGCCAGCAGCACCATGATCGGGGGCACCGCCATGAGGCCCGTGATCTTGAACCTCTCGATGTGCTGCAGCATCTTCTCGAAGTCGAAGGACGGCATCACGTACACCGGCATGCCGAATTTCGGGTAGTTGCACATGTAGTACGTCTGCCCGTATGCATGGTACATCGGCAAGAAGGCAAGTTGCCTCGCTCGTTTCTTCTTCTCCTGATAGCCAGGTTCGAGCTCGGCCATGTACTCTACGGCGACACCGTTCGCTACCTGTGCACATGGTCAGCTTTTATTCGGACACTTCATGGTGGCGCTGGGTGGGTCTTGCTCCTCGTCATTTGGAAGCAGATGCGAGACGTGAAGGTGGCGTTTTGGGAGGGAAGATATGCAGTGTGATTGGGCGGTTGTAACTTCATCAAAGGAATGTCAAAAGAACGTATTCCTACATAAGAATGGTGACTGATCTCGACACCTTTCGGTACGCCAGTCGTACCCGAACTGTAGTTCAGGCAACATGTCGTTTCTTTCGGATCAACCGGTTCTATCCAGTCGAATTTGGCCGCTTCCTCTTCGGAAGCATGCAAAGAGGTCCAGTGTCGAACACCATGCTGTGACTCTCCGGGTGTCTTGTCGAATGCGGTGTCATCGAAGCTGTAGATCCTGTCCCTCGGGAGGCCAACTTCCGCAGCGGCTTCAAGAGCAATGCCCATGCTCTTTTCAGCGGCTATCAGGATGTACGCTCCACTGTCTCTGAGCTGGTGGGCAAGCTCCCGAGCGACGAAGCTGGGGTTTGCGCCGGTGAAGATTCCGCCTGCCATCTGAATTCCCATGAAAATAGTGGGCGTGAAGAGGTTGTTCCCCGAGAAAAGCAAGACGGGGTTGCCGGGCTTCAATCCTGCCTTCTGGAGACCCAGTGCTATCCTCTTGGACCGAAGCCTATAGCCGGCTTGCGTGATGACATGGCTATCAGGCCGTTCCGGGTCGATGAACTGCGCTTTCTCAGGCAAGGGGCCGAACGAAGAACCAAACACCCATTTCTGCAATGAGCAGATGGGTATGTCTACTTTCCAGCGACTCTCGACGACCATCGTAACCTAGACTTGTTCGCGTTGTAACCAATGAGCTAAGCCTGCCCTGCGCCTCCAACTCGAACTCGATTCAAGTACCCGTTCGTAGCATCGACTTCCAGGACTTGTTAAGAAGCTGCACGCCCGAGACTACGACTTGTAGCGGGTAGGTAAGGTAGGTAATGATAGGTGGCGATGGGAGAGAGAAGAGATCCGAGCAGATGGAATCGACGTCACAAGACCTGGACAGATCGAAGGGTAATCATACCTTATTGAGGGGAAGGGAAGATGGGGTCGGCATCCTAATAAGAATGGGCCCTGGTGGTGAACCTAGGCCCTGCTCTGAACAGTGAAGAACCAGGGGGGGCCAGATCGGGCCCAGAGGTGCCAGACACAGACAGCCAGACAGCGAGAGTCAATCATACATACATAGTACAGAGAAACAAGGAGCCTTGACAGGCGAACAGGAACTTGCGTTATCCATGCACCTGGCGAGGGTTGTGTTGCATTGAGCGGCCGCGCGGGCGGAAACCGCTGTCTAGGTAGGTAGGTAGGTAGGTAGGTAGGGAACAGGGAGTCTGGGACAGTGTGTATGATGCAGAATGCCCCGACTGGTGGTGGTGGGTGTTGGTGCTGGTGCTGGTGCTGGCTCTCCTTCGGGATGCATAATACCGTTGGACCGTAATCCGTGAGGGAGTACCTCACAGTCCTCCTTCATGCTCTGGTGATGACTGCAGGGCTTGGCGACACATCTGCACCGTTGCTATCGCTTCGCGACTCGGCATCGATTGGACGCCGAACGCGCTCGCTCGCTCCCACGTTGAGAGGACTAGCGACGGGAGAGCCATGGAGCCGACCCGTCTCTCGATGTCCAGATATTCGGCAGCGGGCCTCGGCGCGTCTTCCCCGCAATGACAACTCCGAGTCTCGTCGGGCAGGATGCCGCCGGTCGCAGTCCAGATGCGGCGGAGGATTGGAGAGTGAGCACTAGTGAGCATTGCGCTGTCAGAGACTGGGGTCAGTAAGCACAGGCAACACAAGGGAATGGCTACGGAGCCCTGACAGCCTGGTGCACGCAGGCTACAGGGCTAAGAAGTCCACCGCCGAGATACCTGGGCCGGTAACGAACCGAGGTTCTCCGACCGTGACCGGCTACACTGCGGCTAGTGCGGGATCATGGTAGCTGGGACGAAATATCAAGAGGAAGCCAAGTGACATCCATACCTCCTCACTTACCGTATCTAATCACCGAAGAGCAGAATGCCTTCATCATCCCACCTCCTGGTTCTCCTTGGCCTGTGTCGAATCTATAGGTATCACTGAGGCACTGGTGACCTTATGAATCTAGTCCCGGTGACATGGTAAGGTACTTAGTCAGGTAACAAACATTCAGCAAGGTTCCTGACGAAGCGAATTGAGCTGACCCGCTGAAAAGTCAACCCTTCTTGTCCTCGGTCATGTAAGGGACCGTCCAAGTTGGTTGGATACGGGATTGCAGTACGGTACCTCGCCAAAGTTATTGGTCTACGATACTCCAGCCAGAAGGCAACCGTCGACAGGATTGACAAGCAGAGCCTCGCCATGACACGAAGTTCGGGAGATTTGCGCCTTGTGCGCTCCTGCTGAGCGACCCGACCACGTGGTTTAACGATCATCTTGTGCGACACGCGCGCATTAGCGGTGATACCTCGCTTCTTGACAACGAAGCAGAAGTCGCCCAGGCCACAGCGATGATATGACCATAGGATCATGGAAGCGTCGATTGAGGGGACGGCGCCCGAAGGAGACTCGATTGCCCTCAGGTCCATACTCGCGTCGATGACTAGGTAAGCTTCCTGTCTTCGTTGTTCTCTGGGAATGGGCGACGCGATACCTTATCGCAGGGGAGAACGAGAGACAGACAGAACCGTGACTTGAAGAGAAAATAGGTACGGCCTCAGGTGTGCTGTGCTAATGAACCTCAGGGCAGTCGCCGTTACAGAAAGAGACATGATTGAGAAATCATGTGAGGTTGAAATGGGTGAAGTTGATGGGTTCGGCTTCCATTAC